GTCCTGGCAGAGCCTCAAACTGGCTTCCCTAGCCCTGCCAGAGCAAGTCCAGGCCTGCCCAGCTGGGCCCTGGCCTGGTTTGTTTACCCTTCCCACTGCCCCCTCCCTCCCAGCCAGCCTGGGGAGAGTTTGGTGACTCCAACCACGTGCACCAGCTGCTTCCTCCCCTGGAGGATTCACATGATGTAATCGCAGCAGTGACGCAAAATCACTCCACTCCGGCCAGGCTTGCCCATTGGCTGCTACCGCTGGTTCTACAGGCGGGGTTTCCCCACTGCTCAACCGAACTTAGGCCGGGGGAGCCCCACCCCGGCGGGAACCCATTGGTCGCCTGAAATGCATGGAGGCGGGTCCTCTTTTAACCCCTGCATCGCCATGCTACTTGGTCTCATTCTACACTGGCTACTCAAGTAGCTTGTGTGGGCCTAAAAGATACTGCAAGGGGCCGCAGCTGCATTAGAAAGGGCTAACCCCCAGCAAAAGTTTGCTTATGCAGAGCAGGGAGCTGCCTGAGGGGCAGGGAAAATAGACACGTTTGATTGTAATGCCTCGTGCTGGAAGGCTACTGTAGATTTTGCAATAACTCCTGATCTTATTCACACAGCCAAATCTTTCTCCTAGGCTGTGTTCAATCAGAGATTAGTCTGAAACGCTCTTACTGTCCCTGGGGTACACTTCAGGGATAACAAGGAGTCCTGTGGCACCTTAAAAACTAACAACATTTAGTTGGGCATAAGTTTTCATGGGCAATGATGGACTTTGTCAAATGTATTGATTCTCCAAAAGAACATAAGCCCAGCCCTACTAGGTCAGCCTAACCATCCATCTTGCCCAGTGTCCTGTCTCCAGCGGTGGACCTTGCTAGAGCTTCAGGCAGAATGTGCAAAAAAGGGCAGTTGGAGTAATCCACCCTCTTTCTCTCTGGTGTTTAGTAGTCAGGTTTAGGGGCTGCATTGCTGACCATCTGGGCAAGAATCCACTGATGAACCTTTGCCATAAAGTCATCTGGTTCTGACCTTCCTAACACCCTGTGGCAATGAGTTCCACAGGTGGTAAATTATGTGGAAAAGGTACTTCCTTTTGTTTTTATTAAACCTGCTGCCTGTTAATTTCCTTGGGTGACCCTTGGTTTTTTGTATTATGGGAAAGAACAATTTACTCCTCTTGCTGTTCATGATTTTACAGACCTCCATCTCTCTCTCGGGGTATGTCTACACTACCCTCCTAATTCGAAATAGGAGGGTAATGTAGGCATACCGCAATTGCAAATGAAGCCCGGGATTTGAATTTCCCGGGTTTCATTTGCATAAAGCCGACCGGCGCCATTTTTAAATGCCGGCAGTTCGAACCCCGTGCCACGCGACTACACGCGGCACGGAGTAGCTAGTTCGGATTAGGCTTCCTAATCCGAACTAGCTGTACTCCTCGTGGAATGAGGAGTACAGCTAATTCGGATTAGGAAGCCTAATCCGAACTAGCTACTCCGTGCCGCGTGTAGCCGCGCGGCACGGGGTTCGAACTGCCGGCATTTAAAAATGGCGCCGGCTGGCTTTATGCAAATGAAGCCCGGGAAATTCAAATCCCGGGCTTCATTTGCAATTGCGGTATGCCTACATTACCCTCCTATTTCGAATTAGGAGGGTAGTGTAGACATACCCTCTCTCTCTCTCTCTCTCTCTCACACCCACACCCACACCCATTGTCTCTTTTCTAAGCTGAACAGCCCTCATCTTCATATCCTCTCCTTGTAGCCACTCCATACCCTGGATCATCAGGATCATCAGAGCCAGAGAAAGCTATCACCTGGTGCTTACTACTGTGCCTTTTGCCCAAGGGGCTGAAGGAGAGGAATCAGTATGGTATCTAGAGCAGCTGTGAATTGGAACTCCTGGGTTCTGTCTTAGAATCATAGAATAATAGGACTGGAAGGGACCTCGAAAGGTCATCGAGTCCAGCCCCCCACCCTCAAGGCAGGACCAAGCTCCGTCTACACCGTCTTCATCTTTGCCACTGACCTTTGGCAAATCATGTGTCCTTTTAGACGCCAGCCTTTGCTGGAAGCTACTGCTGTGTAGGCCACTTTCAGTGACCTATATACCCATTTCATGGCAGAAGTACATTATACATTGCCTGTGTTTAAAACATGGAAGGAACTGAAAGATGCTGTCTAGATTGGAGAAGGCAGATGCCTGCAGGTTCCTGTCTCTAGGCTTTAGTAGCATTAGTTTATCACTAGGGGAGTCCCAGCCTGGCTGCTCGTTAGCAAGAGGGAGTGAGGGTGTATGGATGGAGGCCAGGTAGTCACTTCTTTCAGAGGCAGGAGGCTGTTCTTTGATATTGTTCATGGAGTGATTAATTGTGTGTTTCATACTTGGGAAGGATGGCCCTGCCTGAAAGAGGCTTCCAACTTCCTTTGCCATGGTTTTGGGTGAAAGAATCTGTTCTGTGCACTAGGGTGGGCTTGATATTAAATTTGAATCTGGATCCATCTGCAAATAGGGTCTGTGGGCTATCTGTGGATATAAACTCAACTTTGGCAGCTTTGCCCCAGACTCCTAATCTTATTAGATGATTACACCATGGTAACCACACCCCAAAATCACACCCCGGGGTACTTCAAGGCAGTTGCCCTTTCCCTATTCATCACCACCTCTTGCTTCAGAGCAAGTTCAGTTCTTGCTAGTTAGTGTAGCTGAGCTTTGAAATCTGCAGAATCTCTCAGCTGAGCATTGCAGAGACTAATTGTGCTGTCTTCCTGGCCTGTTCCCTCCATTAATTCAGCCTCGGATCGGTGACAACACAAGATATTTCTCTGAGATTTGGGGCCAGCTAGGTGGCACTCTCCCTAATCCTCCTCTCTCAGGCATCTGGAGCGGGGTAGCCCCTCTCTTTCTATCCTCCCACTTGTTCAGACTGCTAGCTGTAGGCGAGCGGGGAGTTGTAGTAGCAAATCATGCTGCAGAGCTGTGCAAAAATCTAGGGTTAGGTTGCCACTCTGCAATCGATCTCTCTTGGAGTGCTGCACATGGCAAACATAAATAGTCCCCAAAAGGCAGGCCTGGCTAGGGGCGGGTTTACTTTCTTCTGGGTCTGCCTCCCCCACGCAGCTCTAGCTAAACCTGATACAAACACACCCTAGACTAGGGTGAGTGGGAAAAGGCCAAGCCATGGCTCCAGGCTCACGCAGTGATCAGCCCGGCTTCCCACTCTGCCTCGAGGAGTGGGTTGTCCAGGCTGGCTGTCAAACAGAAGCGGGAGGCTGCGGCGGCAGGGTCCGCGCGCAGCTAAAACCCGGGGGGCTCTTTGCTGTGGATTCCAGGGGTACATCGGACACCCTAGACTAGGGTGAGTGGGAAAAGGCCAAGCCATGGCTCCAGGCTCACGCAGTGATCAGCCCGGCTTCCCACTCTGCCTCGAGGAGTGGGTTGTCCAGGCTGGCTGTCAAACAGAAGCGGGAGGCTGCGGCGGCAGGGTCCGCGCGCAGCTAAAACCCGGGGGGCTCTTTGCTGTGGATTCCAGGGGTACATCGGTATAGGGTGGGGGGGGGGCGCTCGCATTCCCCCCTTTCGGAGCCGCTCTCCGCTGCAGTCACAGATTAGCTGGAGTCTTAGGGCGGCGCGGTGGGGTACCCGCAACGT